TTTCTCTAAGAATTTTATAAAATTGGACTGGGCTAACTCAAACTATGCATATGATGAATATTCACCTGATTGTTAGTCTGCTTATTCTTCCATCTACAGTTTTGAAAGACTGGATTGGAATTACAGAATAAAGCACTTAAAAATCCATGAATGCCTGCATACCCAGACTAAAGGAAGCTCCATATCTCCTGACTATATATAGATCCAGTCTGGACAGGAGGGGAGAGGAGTGTTTGCTGTTTTTTTGTTTGTTTTTAATTAGTCCTTACTGATGGGCAGAAAGGGATATTCCTGTCCTTTACAGAGAATTTCTGCAGGTATCTAGTATTCAGTGCTCTCACATTCTAAACAGTTTTTTTTCTGACTACCACAAAAGAAGCAAAAGAGTAAAAATCTAAAATATATTTTAACATACAGTCAGAGAGCTTACCAGAAAAACAAACCAATCTTTGTGTCTCCTTCAAAGACAAGAACTCCTGTAGGTGTTAATCCCAGGCTGTAATCATTGCCGTCTCTTGCCTAATTGCCACAAAATAAAGATTATGTTCATTTTGGTATTCAACCCTTTATCGAAATTACTCCAGTGACTCATATAGTTTATTTGCCCAGCGTCACAATCAGACACCTAACTGCTTATTTTATACAACAAAACTCTTGTGTTCCAATGATCTCATGCAACAGATTTTTCTAGTTTGCAACCCTTCAGTGAGGCTGAGTGAAGTGGAAAATGAAAGTTTCTTGATTTGTCTGTGTAAGAAGGGCCTCCTTGTGCAGTTTTCTTCACTTCCTTCTCCACAGGACACCTATTTTTACTTGTAGCTTTTCAGCTGGCAGCTGACTGGACCCCAGCCAATTTAAATTTAATTACTATGATTTTCACATAGTTCTTAGTCTAAATACAAACGTATTGCCATACAAACTAGTACATATTGCCACACGGATCACATAACAGAGCAGATATGTATGTTTGGACCAAAGTTAAACCTTCTAGAAAGGTATGGTACAAAGTGGAATGTTGATGTAAAGCCAGATCACTTGTTACACAGCTTAGGTGAGTACAATGCTCCTCTTTTTTTGCCCCCTCAAAGCAAAAGCAGTGTTGAAATGCAGGACCAAGCTAACATTATAATTTCCAAAGGTCACCATGCTGTGGTTAAACATACCTTAACTATGTGCATGTCTACACCATACATTTCCAGCCACTTAGCTTTGTTTAAGTAGTTAGTTTCAGCCTGTGCTGGTGTTTGCCCCCTGAAATAAAATTGTTGCTGTTAGGTAGATGCCTGAAAAAAACACAGAAAGGAAGAACTGGTGTATGAGGAAAGAGGAAAAGAAATTCCTGAAGTTTGTGAAAACTCAAACATTGCTGACACTTGTTCACTTTCATGAACACCAAGGTCACCTTTGTAAATTTTAATCTGAAACTGCTGCTGCAAAAAACACTGCATTTCAAGATTCTGTACCTCATCATTTTACTCAGACCTTTAAAAAGCTTATTACATTATACCCACTTACAAAATATGACAACTATATTAGAATTATGTTTCTGGACAAGACCACATAAGAAGCATCAGCACCATCTTTTTAATACAGTCTCTTCACAGAAAAATTAGTGCAAACAGCTGGTTAGAATGCACTGGAAGATCTAGTACCTGAACTCCTTCCACTTCTCAAAAATGGCTAGTTCCATTTCTTCAGTCTGAGTGGGAACAAACCTGAACTCAGACACCAGTTCAGGGACATGTTCAGCCGGCTCATAGTCTCCAAGTTCAGCTATAAAAGAACAGCACTGTCAAGCAATGTTCCAGATAAATACTGTGGATATTAACAAGAACTTCTGCATACTTTTCTTATTAATCTAAAATAATAGCTTTCTTTTTGTATTCTTCCTTCTCCCGTCCTCCAAGATGTGAAGTGTCACCTTTTTTGACTGGGTAACTATAGACACTGAACAAATGGTCACATTGTCTGCACAAAAGCTTTGGATTAATTTTTATGAAGTGCTATTGACACATTCCTTAACAAGCTTCCTGTAAAAGGAAGAGATATCAACATCCTTGAAACTCATCTTCTTTCTTTCTTGCAGAAAGTTTTCAAGATTTTTACCACTGAAGTCTCTACTGAGATGCCAGCTGACTAAAATTACAATGGAATTTTGCCTTGCATATTAAAATCTCTTGAGATTGTAAAAAGCAAAACCAGTTCTGATACTCTCTATCAATGTATTTGTTCATTCTAAAAAATCAGCTTCTGGTTTTATGACTATAAACCCCGCTGTCCTGCTAAAATTACTCAGTATCAGGGCACAATCATGCAGCAGTTACATGTTGCTCTCCTTCTCATTTAAGAATATAATAAATACCCTACTGGGCCAGTCGAATGGCTCATCTAGTCTACTGCTGCATGCTCAACAGTGGCATAAAGACGTGCTATGTAGAGAGCATACCAGAACACACTAGTCAATGGGTGTGCCACACTGAAAGGACAACCTCCTTTTTCCACAGATGCTAACAAGTCCAGCTTTTGAAGCCAGATGTATGAAGCCAGATGTATGCCCAAAATGCTGAAACTCAGTTAGAAACCTTTACAAACACGTCCTGATTCTCAAAGCCACTAAGCACTGGCTCCTCCCATTGATTTCAAGTGGCTTCTTAATGTTCAGCTCATAGTCAAAAAAATTAGAAATAATTCTGTAAATTGGACCTCAGGTGTCTGATACAGGCCAATAATTGTTCTGTTTTCCTACGTAAATATTTGTGTAGGG